GAATTTAGCTTGAAAACCACAGCTTTGAAGCCTCATGCGCGCCATACCCGGGAACAGAACTGTAGCTACTTGTAGCTACCCTGGGTCCGTATAAATACTATGTTGCTATACCTCTTACACACCTATACAAGTTCAAAGCACGAATGAGACTTCAAAGCTGTGGATTGCTGTGCGTGTGTAGAGGTTCTCAAGCGGTTGACGGAAAGGCAACTTGAAGTACTATACCTGGTAGCTGCACTATAGCTACCCTAGGTCTCTATACCTTGCAAGGTGCCAACTACACCTTTCCATTCAGATGATGCAAATGATGCATTTGGCATTTCTTGCATCACCACCCCTCAAAAATCACCTCCAACACAACCTCAAAAAAACCTTTCCTCGAAGCACCCTCCTCCCCCAGCATGTGCCGAGTTGACGTATACCTTTCTCGGGCCACCCCCCCAGACCCCCTAACTACTCACTTCGTTCGCCAGACACAACTCCGCTAGCGCCTTCTACGAAGGCTGGCTTTCGTAACCATGCAAGATGTGGAAAGGCTTGAAGGTGCGGGATAGAGTCAGCAAGTCGGTGTTGTGATCTTGTGTGCTCTCTACTCTCACAATCGCAAGAAGCTTCAAGCATGGTGTGCCAAAACTGCGCAGGAGGGGGCAAGGGCATATCAAACAGAGCGATGTCTGTCCAAGCATGTCCAAACTCATTTTGGGGTGCAAATTGGCTTGAACTTCGAGCTTTTCACGCAGGCGTCGCACCCAAGCCAACAATAATTCAGTCAGAGAATGTGCCGAACCCATGTGCGGAACCCGCCTGGATCAAAGCCGTTCTGTGTGCCGGTGCTCGATTTTGTTTTCAAGTTTTCAAGCCAAAGCACCAAGGATGTCGTGTGGATCGTCACAAATCCCAGACACTCCATGTTTGTCACACACACACACGCGTTTACATTGACCCATTTCAATCACCCCAAAATATACCAAACTGGATAATACATGATAATACGTGGAAATCGCAACAACACTCATGGACTGTGATCTCTTCAGCCTTCGATCCGCGTCGAGGTGTCCTGTTTTGCCGGCCACGGTATCCATATCCCAAACTCCATGTATGGACCTGTATGGAGTAGTATGGCATGCAAACCTATAATTGTTTTCTTTTTTTAAAGGGGGTCAATGTATATTAGTCAGCGGGTCTATGATACTAAATGAAAGAATGGCAGACACTCATCTCATTCCAATGTATCCCAACTTGGGTGGTACTTGCAACATCGCCCTAAGAACGTACCCTAGAAAATGGGATAATATAAAAACAGGTCTATTCCCTAGGGCTCCTGGCCCATATCCTCAGGTTCGGTGGTTAGACCCCCCTGGCACCCACCCCAACCATCTTCTCAGGAGGTGGTTGGAGCCCTAGGGATTATAAGTATACTCCTTTTCTGTAGTACTTGGATGCCCGTTTCGCCTTTCCCAAACGCCCATGCCCCTCGGTCGCAGCACCAGAGCGGAGCAGGACCTACGGGCAGCGTACGCGTCGGTGGCTTTCGGTGGAGAGACCAGCCGCCGCAGTCGCATGCCGCTGCTCACCCCAGCGCTCCAAGTACTTCCTCGAAAGGTATCCCTACTTTCGTCAACGAAACACATGGTCTCTGTGATCTTTCGTGAGATTCACCCGATGTAATTACATGCTATAATATAGCTTACTGTTTCGGCAGAAATCCAATACACGATAACGATCACATGATTGTTTAAGACTCATTAAGAGGAAACTAGTAGTGTTGGGTTGGTGAGCTGCAGTGCAACTCTAACCACAGCTGATGGGCAACTATAACTTAATATGCAACCCCTGAGACAAAAACTGTAGCATTGTCTAGACAGGGCGAGTCACGACTGGAACTGTATCGACTGCCATCACGGCTGGGGCGGCGAGTCTAACCGTCTAACTCGCCGTCGTCTAACTCGCCGTCGTCTAACTCGATGTCTAGGGACGCCCGATCCGTTGAGTTTCCGCCCCCTTCTGCAAGCTTAGAAGCTGCAAAGAGTTTTAGAGTCAAGCACTGGAATTGGAGTGGAGAATGGTCAGACCAAAGGGCGTGAAGACTACCCCCCCACGTCCAACCTGAATGGTCAAACCAAAGCAACTTTAGGATCAAAACGGCGGACCATTTCCCAAATCACATGTGTAATCATAGTACCCTAGGGATCCAAGTCCCTTCTCAGGTACAGTGAGGTGTTCAACACTGAGACATGAGACGGTGCCCTTGTCCGTCGGGTCTTGTCGTACCGAACCTGAGAAGGTATCAGAAGGTACGACTGGATCCCTCGGATCTTGTCGTACCGTCCGACACAGTCCTCATTCCGACACTTACCCTCAGACACTTACCGACCGCGATGGGACTGGCGCATGTGATGTAGCTTTGTAGGGTCCAGTCGTACCGAAACTGAGAAGGTACAGCTGGATCCCTACAGTAGGAGTAGAATATTGCCTGGGATTTCAACAACCTATAATGGGTCTGAATCCCAAACAACCTTTGCTTTACGAAGGATTCCAGGTCCATTGACCATTCTTTTAGAAGTCGACCTTGAAGGCTAGGGAGCCTATCAGTTGAGCTTCCATACTAAAAAAAAAATGGGTGTCTGGCAAAAGAACTATATTAAATGCATGGTGGTTGGAAGACTACGGATAATTCTGGATATAAATAAATGTAATGTATGCATGCATGGACCATGGAATAATTAACATATATGCCTCCAATGATCCCTTCTCTACCACAGCAATGTAGGCACAAATAAATACCAGTCCTGTTCAGTGTCTGGTCTGGGATCGGAGGTGTGGTCCGTGGTGGCTCCATCAATCACAGTCTCCTCTCCCTCCGATACTGATGATATTCTTATTTTCTATAATCGGAGCCGCACTGGCATGTGGAATTCACCTGGTGAATGCCACACGAAGCCTTCCAAGACCATTTTTGACCAAATGGTTGTTCAGGATTGAGAGCTCAATCAATGGTGGGCCAGGTACGACCGGAGCCTCCTGGCACCGTCTCATGTCTCAGTGTCTCCCTGCTCACCTAACTACTGAGCTTCGGTACGAACACGGATCCCGGTGGGGTCATGGCACGCTATGGTGTGATGCCTCCCACTGAGTCCAACTTGCTTCACCCCTGCGGACCGTTGGGCGCCTCCATGACTTCCAAGCGCCCACGCTTCGCCGCCAGATGCAACGGAAAGGCGCCGACCTGGTGGCGAAGCGTACGGGGTCGGACCCTTCATTCTCCCGAAATGCAGGGGGGAGTCTGGAGCCGAAGCAAACCCCTACAAGTCCAAAGACCCAGTAAAACCTGGTCCTTTACCTCCTTGACTAGTGTTTTTGTATGACCAACTTCAGGAAAATGAGGTCATTGACTTGTAGGGAACCATTCACATTGGTTTCGGTCCCAGATTCGTTGGGAGCACATCACTGGAAGGTGGATTGGTTCACAACCCCAGCTCCAAGCTGGACACCGGGATCGATCCCGGGTCAAAACGAAGAACTTCCAAACCCCCAACGAAGTCTAGTGATAGACGTGCACCACCGAAGTGTCCAGCACCTTCCTGGCATTGGATTACCTCAGCACCTTCCGTTCGTCTGGTGCTTTCTGGACAACCCGGTCCTCACCTCAAATAAGAGGCTATTTCATTTCAATCTAGACATCTTTTGGATGGTCCGGGTACAAGCAGTTGTGCATGAACTGTTTGTACCATCCAAAGCCATTATAGTCTTCAAATATAGTTCTCGATCTTGTGTAAACAGACCATTTCAGGGTAAGGGATGACCGGTGCCCATCCGACGCCTGGGTGAAGCCGACGCCAAAGGCGCCGCTATCCGCCGGGGCATTGGGATCCGCACCTTAGGCTGACCAGTTTTCAGGCAGTGACCGTTGATAGTCAAGGCCCAGGCGCGACCCGAACTCGGACCCCGTTTAGCAACTGTATACATGTTGGTGAAGGTTCACCCTATAGTTGTGAGGATCAAAACGGACCGCGAACTGAGGGTCCAATGAGCCTTTGGGGGGGGTGCAGTCCCCGCTGATAGGATGGTTTTACTTGATCCCTGAAGGGTCTAGGACCTCCGTTGCTCGGATGTCCTGGCATTCTTCAGCCCCAGTGAAAGAACATTCCTCCAAGACCATCCGAAAAAGAGATCATTAGACTACAACACCGTTGGGGCACACCACGGTACTGCAAACACGACCTGTCTGGGACTGGCAGATACCTTCATCTGGGGTGGTTGAACAGGGGTCACGGTCAATTGATCAGTAAGTATGCGCCAGTCCCATCACGCCTCGTGTGTTGTGTCTTGAGAGTAAGTAGGGAATGAGGGAAGTTTCGGCCCCAATAGCATGAGATTCCATTAGAGTTTCAGCCACCCTCATTACCTGCAAGTCACACCAGTCAGGTCGACGGGGCATGCATTGGCGGCCTTTTTGCTGCGTATGTTCATCGCCTGCCTCTCACCCTGAAGGACTGAGCCTGGGCCGGCAACGCGGCAAAGAGAAGATGGCCGCCATGGGGAAGCATCAGTGACACCAGGGAAGACCATTCTCAATGTGGCGATGTCCATGGGATGAAAATGGTAAGACGTGTCAGGAACAAACTTTCCTAGATCAACTCTAAGGCATGCCGACTTCATCCCTTTATAGATCTTTAAAACATTGTGGCATTTCGTCCTGGCAAAGCAAGTAGAGCTCCTGTTACCCGTGCAAAACAAACGTTGGACGGCAGTTGCACGGCTCACGTCGGGCGTCGCCGATGCCCCACTCTCATCGACTGACTTGTCTGATGTTCCACAAACCCCAAATGGAAGAGTTCAAATGAAGAGTTCTTCAAAATCACCTCTTAAATAGACAAATCACCTCAAAATCACCTCAAATCACCTCAAAATCACCTCTTAAAGAGACAATCTGAACCCACCATCTATACTGTTTATAGGTGCTTCCAACTTGGGTCTATCAATTGGAGACATCGGTCCGCGCTCCGCGCGCTCCGCCTCCACCCGGCCTCGCTACTGCTCCGCTCCGCGAGGGCTGAAGGTCCGAGGCACCCTGGAAAACAGCTTTGCTTCGCGTTCCGTATATGGCGTCCCTGTAACACTACGTTATATAATAACAGTACGTTTATACAGTTATACCGTTAACGTTTAAAAGAAAGAACCAACAAAAACACAACATGGCATACCTGGAGCCTCCAAGTAGACACATCCAAGTGTACATCCAAGTACCATGAAAGGGTCCTTTTATCCCATTTGCTTTGGGGGAGGTCTTGTCACTTGATTCGTTTACCTATTTTGTGCTTCCCTCTTTCTAGTGGAGAAACAACATGCATCATCGCTGACTCTCTCAGAGGCGCGGAACATGCGCTCATCCAAATTGGGTGGAACAGGTCTCCAAAACGTTGGTTTCACTGCTTGCATCTGGGTTTTGACCATTCAAAAATGGTTGAGCTGGTGATGTCGTGTAAAAATCCTTAGATAAAACTATATGGCGCTTTGGGATTCTGACCGTTAAATCAATGGTTGGCCGCGAATCCATCCACAGTGGCCGCTCTGGTGGCCAGCTCGTTCGAACGGGGCAAAGAAGTCCGACGAGCTGGCCCAGCTCCATGGGACCATCGAAACACGCACGGCCTGGAATCAACAAGTTATTAGTAAATCAGAACTGAACCCGAAAAAGGGACAACACTCTCAAGGCTTGACGGGTCTCTCAACTGATGATTCTATTGACCTATTGAGCTTCCGACTGTGCGAAAGGTCTGTGTGTTAGACTTGTTTGATAAAAAGAGGCCAACACTTGGCCAAGATCCAGCCCTAGGGATCCAAGTACCTTCTCACATAACCTCACTTGGATCCCTAGGGCAGGTCTATGCTCAAATATCCCAGACACTCCATATGTGGCATAGATGCCACCCAATTAGCTTCTGAAAGTCCCTGGATGTAGTTACCTATGCCAGCCCCATGGGTCGCAGGTCGTGTCTGGGAAAACCACGGGTTGGCCACCCATGCCTCCAGCCCTAGGGATCCTGTCATACCTTCTCAGAAGGTATGACTGGACACTCCTGGCACCTACATAACACTGTTGAACACATCACCGTACCTGAGGTTCGGTACGACTGGATCCCGACTGGGCAGGGTTGATCCAAGGCACGGAGAGGAGAGGTTCTTCAGGGATCCCGGTGATGCCATGACCTCTTCCACCTCCGGAAGCCCGCGCGAAGCGCCGATCCGTCGCTGACCGCGGGCCGTGCGCGAATCATTGACAAAACCGTGGCCATATGGAGTGGAGAATAGGAAGCAAAAAGGTGGTGAAGGTGAATGGACCAACCTCAGAACATGGGCACATGGTCCACGAGTACCTATACATGTCCCATTTTTCTAGTCGACCAACTGCAGGGTCACGCGGCACGGGCGTCACATAGGTTGGTTGTCACTATGAAGCCCCTTTGAAACGCCAATATGGCCCCAACAGGTCGTGCCTGCAGTACGGAAAAAAAAACACGTCTTCGATATGCATGCATATAGATACTACGTAGATATCTATGCAATCAGGTTGCTGCACTGATTGATGCAACATGATGCATCCAGAAAGTCACCATTTGGGAACCAAATTCATCCAAGTTCTCAGTAACCCCCCAAGTCACATGGGCTTCCGTCCGACGGCCCTTGGGGCCGTCGTACCTGGACCTCGGACCCAAGCATCGTACCAGGACAGCATCGTACCTCCTTTTGGTTCGGGTCATGTCTCCTGCTTTGTCTTGTTCTATACCCAGACACTCCATGGGACTGCCATATATGCCTACATTGACCCCCCAAACCACCCCAATGTAGGCATATATGGCAGTCCTATGGAGTGTCTGGGATAGGGTACAAACAAAGTCGACTTACTGCTCACTCAGGTTGCAGGTCGCATCTGTGTGAGCGAGTCTAGAGAGTCCTCTTCGAGCGGGATTCAGGTAGCCATGCCCGCAGATATGGCTGTGTGTTAGAATAGGGAGACCTTGGAAAGACCCGCTGGAAAAGAGACCAAATTATTTGCAAAACGCCTTGGTTGGCGCTCTCCCTATTAAAATGTTCACCCATATTGACCTGTAGAGATTGGTCCTTGCTGCCCAGACGCAAAGTCCAGACCCTTCTTTCAACGGAACTGGCATGGAGGGGTCCAATCTTCAAACGCCATGGGACTTCTGATGACTTCAGACTTCGAAGGTATGACTGGACATGTCACAGTGTGTCCCTGTTCACCTAACTACTGAGGTTCGGTATGAAAACGGAGCCCAGTCCCGGGAAGGTCACATCCACCATCCACCCCTCACCGACACCCCGACCCACCGAGGTCCCGCCACCTCTTCGTGGGGCGGATAGTAAAGGCCCGGAATCTGCGCCGCGGCAGAGAAGCGCTGCGGTGTGAAGAACAGGAGCAAGGCTGGGGGGGGCAAGGGGACCCAAGTAGCGCTTTGACACGTTGCCTGGAAACCTCCCAAAAGCAAACTTGCTGCATATTAATCCCTAGATCTCCAAAGTCTCCAATCACCTTCTGAGAAGGTATTTGGAGCCCTAGGGAATAGTTTTGGCAGATCAAAATAGATATGACTCCTGGTCAGGACGGCGCCTCACTTGCGCACACAACATTAGCTCACCTGTACACGCAGCATGTTCTTTAAAAAGGTAACTCACCTGTGCACACACAAATTGAGTTGATGTGATGTGTACATGACATGATTTAGGTCAGGTTAGTGAACACAAATGCTCACTTTCTGATTAAGTCTAGAGTCTAGATCTCTTGTTGGGGTGAGGTGGGTGGGGGAGGGGAAAAATGGTAAAAGAGGGTTCCTAGGACCTTTTCTGTTTAGTGTTGCCTTTTAGGATTTTGTTTTGGAGCTCAATGTGTGCTCCCTGCCTTTGATGTTTCTTCCTCTGGGGATTGTACGTTTTTGTTGTCCAAGACTTTCACTCTCCTGCTTAGGGTGTTGTGTCCTATTTCTGGGTTGGGGCTTATGGGTTGTAATTATACTGTGGTTACAGGTTGTAAAGTTTTATGGGTTCTAGTTATAACATAACCTTACGCTTTCCATGTTCCTCTGGGTTCCCACCAGTATTCAATGACACGGAGTTGTGTTAGACAAGGTTTGATTGTATCGTTCAGTTCATCCCTTGCTATTGATAGAAGAGTTAGGTTAATATATAATCCTATGGGATTGAAAAGGCACAGTTCTTTCATCAAAAAAGTGTTAGACAAGGTTTGATTGTATCGTTCAGCTCATCCATCGCTATCCTATGGCTTTGAAAAGGCACAGTTCTTTTTATCAAGAAAGGAAAACACGCGAAGGACGCCACAACGCGCGACGCACCGACACCCCAACCCCCAAGAAGTGCTCGATGTCATCCCTTCTGTCAAGACAGGATGGATGAATATAGTTAGATAGATAGAGAGATAGATAAACATACTTTATTATACACAATATAGTCAAAATTCACTTCCCTGATTTTCAACATTTGTCTAATCTCCCTATGAGTTGGGGAGAAGGCTGGGATGTCTGGCTTGAACCCCCCAAACATAGGGCACCCCGTGAAGTCACAGCTTTCTGTCCTTAGGACCCGTTGGATTCTGTAGGGCATGGAACAATCATGTGCTCTTTAGTACCATCCGTACAAAATTACAGCAGCAGTGCTGCCATTGAATCTCTGTCTACACATCCAAGCAAGGATATGATTCTCTAGAACATTTGGAAAATCAAGTCTCTGACCCCTGTTTGGACTCCCTGGGGGATGACATTTTTTTTCTTGCTGGCCACCCTGATTGGTAAGTAGGAAGTATTTATTGTCAAAATGCGGCTGCACTTAAG